AGTCTAACTCGCATTTTTTTTAAAAAAATTCAATTATTTCATTAACATTTATTATTTTTACGATACAAATTTCTCAATATAATTTTCATCATTTTATTAAGAAATTTTAAAAAAATTTCGAAATTTTACATCCGAAAAAGTCATATCCCATTTAAATTTTCGGATGTAAAATTACATGGAGTATAATTTTTTGGACGTAAATTTTCGATTGTAAAATTTCTCCCAACTTCTTTGTAAGTTCGATTGTGCCCCCCAACGTTAAAGTTCTGCGTCCGCCCTTGAATATATTCATTGTACCCGAGACCCGTTTCTTTTCTTTCACATGTTTGAGTGTCTAAATGATCTTAGAAAATTCTGAGATTTTACTATATTGTACTTAAATGAGTATAAAAAAATACTGTAAAAATTTCATAAAATTATGAATCTGATAAATTGTCCAACTAATTTTGATCGTTGGATAGCGCATTGCATGAATTTAATCAGTTAATTCACGCTAACATTCATTTTATCCATTCGTTTTAGTTTTGCTAATTAACCAATCAAAGTTATTTACCTTAAATCATTTCTTTCCAATAAATTTTTGAACTTGTAATAGAACGCAAGAGTAATAACAAAATTAAAAGAAAATTAAGAAAACTTTAATTTTAAACTGAATTTTTTGAAGAAAAAAATGGTGTTGTTTTTATACTAATTTCAAATTCCAAGATTTTGGTTGTTACATCATCGCTTTGAATCGAACCTCCACAATTATATCGTTTGCATAATCTCTTCCCTCTAATTTATCGCTTTTGTATTTGTGCATAATTACTCGATTGTTTTATTAATTCATAACTTGTTTAAATTTGAATAAATTTCTTGAAACAGTTTTGAAAATCGATTTACCCCATCATGATTAGTTATTCTTGAAATATCAATTTGAATAAAAAAATAATTAATTTATAATTGGGCTTCAGCTAGTCCTTTTAAAAACATTGTCTTTTAAGATGAAACTACATAAATCAATATTATCATAATTTAAAAAGCTCGACGAGCAATTTGATTCATTTAGAACTCAAACAAGCAATTAAATTTTAACATTCATGATATCGTTAAATAAGCTATCGTCTTATTGCATGGGCAGTTAAGACAAAATTCCAAATTGTTTAAACATGTAACTTATGAGTGGTTAAATTAGTCGTAAGTGTATTTTTATACTGTATACTTGCTTATTTATTTAATCACTTTACGTTCATGCATTCTGGTGGCAAGACATTATCATATTCAACCCGAGTTATGAGGTAATATTAATAGCTTATTTGATAAACTTTATATCAACTTTTCAACTCATCAAATTTTCGATTTCAATTATGAGACCCACTATTTTTATCAAAATTTACTAAAAATTATTATCTTATTTGAGTAATCTTATCTTCGCGAGACTAGATAATGGGTTCCAAGCTCAAGAGGTAATCTCAAACCGAACTTCCTGATGTCACTTTATCTCTCAAGATCCCTATATAAGTTCTGCCAAAAAACTGATATCATATATATGTAATCCAGAAAGATATACATATATAAATATATACAAGTAAAGTATAATATTCCATGGAGGATCAAGAACTGTCAAAGTCATCGATTAAGATTCTTACTGATCCACAACAAGGAGATGGTGATTTTGGCAAGAAATCACCAGCATCCATTTTAACCAGGCTCCATGCAGGCTATTTCAGAATAAGTCTCTCTTTTGGGGGTCATGTGTTGCTATGGAAAAACCTAAGTGAACATGTATACGAATCACAAGCTATTCATGTCATTTTCCGTATTCATACCCTCCCTTCAGTGGCTTTTCTTCAACTCTGTTCGCTTTCGCTATGCATTCTCATTCTTCTCTCTGTTCTCTACATTTTGAAGTGCATTTTTTTACATCAATCTGGTGAAAGCAGAGTTCCTGCACCATGTTGGTGTCAACTATCTTTTCACTCCATGGATTTCATGTCTTGTTTTGCTCCAGACAGCGCCATTTGTGAATTGAAATGCTCTTTCTTATCATATTCTGTTGTGGGTTTTTGTTGTTCCTGTGATGCTTGTTGATCTTAAGATTTATGGACAGTGACAAGCCAGATATCAGTTATAGGGAATTTGGTGGGTGCATGGACTGCAGCTAGAATGGGATGGAAAGAGAGTGATGTTTGCTTATTCACACTCGGTTTGGCTCACTATTTGGTGGTGTTTATCACGCTTTATCAGCCATTATCAGCGGCTAATCGTTTCCCAGCAATGCTCCGGCCAGTCTTCTTTTTGTTCGTAGCTGCACCAAGCATGGAGAGCTTGGCTTGGAGCTCCATTTCTGGGAGTTTTGATATGCCATGCAAAATGCTTTCCTATCTCTCGCTGTTCCTCTTGTCGTCATTGGCAAGTTAATTTGTTTCCGAGTAGAACCTAAATTGCATGTTAGGTTTTTGAGGTGCGACATGACATGCCACATTTTTGCATAAAAGTAGGACATAACGTGTAATGAACCAGACATGTGCCCAACCCATTAATTCATATACAAAATCCACTTTAAGAGAATGTATACACATCTAACCTCAATTGGCATAAAGATTTATCTTAAGCATCTCATAAGATAAAAGTCTTGAGTTCAAATACTAAGAATGCAAAAAGAAATTCGTAGGGACAAAATGAGCACAAACTCTCCTAATGCGAACAATACATATGAATTAACGGTTTTACGTCTTATTCTTGTCTAATCAATTATCGTGTTTTTCCTTATATGTAATCAGATACGTGGGTCAGCACTTTTCAAGAAATCAATGAAGAAGTTCAATACATGGGGGGCACACTCATTTCCCTTGACATTCCTTGCACTTGCCTCAGCAGAATATGCACAACAGGTTAAAGGTGCTATAGGCTTTGTTAAGATTTGGGGTCCATCTTAAAAGGTCAACCTTGTTAAGAGGAGTAGCTCAAGATCTTTATTAATTAGTCTGTGTCAACATCATTTATCGATGTGGGATATATATCCCTTAACACGCCCCCGCAAGATGGTGGCTCATTTGAGCAGACCAATCTTGAAATCCACGTGCTCACTTTCGGAGTCTTAACAGGATCGAATCGCTCGTTGGAGGAGAATGGGCTCTGATACTATGTTAAGAATTGGAGGTTACATCTT